ATGTTGTGGTAGATCTGCCATGATCTGTGTCTCTGCTCTCGGCTCCATTTCTCTGCACAAGACACACTTAAACTTGACCGTTTTTGCAAGGTCGTGACCTCGCACGATCCAATAATTCTTTCTTGTTTTGGCTACTGTCGTTGCTACACCTGGATGTCCGCATCGATGAGCGTCTTGCATGATCAGGCGTGACACACTGTGGTCATGAGGTAACAATACTGGGTGCTTCGATTCGTATGATACGATTGCTTTGTCAACGCGTCCTCCCACTCTGATAATGCCTTCGTCGTCAACAAAGGGACTTAACATTTTGAACTCGTTCTTTAGGAGGCGGTTTTGTAGGCTTCTCTGTGCCTGCCTGATCACATATCTTCTGCTTTCCTCTAACTCTTGGGCATTTAGCGGCCCTTGGGATGGTTGAGGCTCGTGGGTTTGCTTTATTTTGGCCATGAGGTTTTTCTTCAGCCTGAAGACCCATGATATCACATGAACTAGCTTCTTCCAACTGGAATATCTATTGCCATCAATGATGGATGGCGTGAATACTACTGCTCCTACATTCATTGTCTTCCTACACTCCTTGTCTACTTCTTCTTGGGTTGGTTCCAGCTCACTCTGGGGCCACTGTTCTTCAGGTAAGCGTAAGAAATCTGGTCCGGATTGCCACCTTCCCGACAACTCCGTAACTGTTATGCCACGCGAAACATCATCTGCCAGGTTATGTCTGCTTGGAATATGCTTCGATTGTGCTTGGTCGGTCTGACTTTGGATTTGTCCAACTCTGCTAGAAACGAACGGTTTAAAGCGTCTGACCTTGCCGCGTATCCATGCCAATACGATGGCGCTGTCGGTAATCATGAAGGTTTTTTCGAACTCGAAACGCGATTCTTCCTTGATTGTGGCTTGTAATCTCGACGCCAATACGGCTGCTTGTAGCTCGAGTCGTGGGATCGTGATTTGTTTGAGAGGGGCCACTCTTGACTTGGCTGCTATAAATTTGACATCAAATTCCTTATTCTCTATTGACCATCTGATATAAGCACATGCGCCAAATGCTTCTTGAGATGCATCTGCGAAAACACAAAGTGTCGGTCGGGAATATGAAGGTTGGCGCGGCGACAAACTTCTAGGGAAGGAAACTTCATTGAGCTCTTTTATTTCCTTCAAGAGACTGAACCACTTCTGATGTACTGCTGTGGGGAGGTCTTGATCCCATCCATATCCTTGTTGCCATAGCTCTTGAAAATCAATCTTGGCTCACACCAGAAGAGATGCTGCAAAGCCAACAGGATCGTAAATTCGCGCTATTTGACTAAGAATGCTTCTCTTTGTCCATTTGGTTGTATTCAAGCTGTTCATGACTTCCGTTTGCACTTTGAACTTGAACGAGTCTTCGGCAGTGTTCCATACTATACCCAAGACCTTGTCTTCGCCAGATCCCTTTATAACGTTCACTTCTTCCCTTTCTCGTTCACCGGTGCCCTTCAAATCTTTATTTGATCGCCACTCTTTTATTCTGAAGCCACCTTTGGTTAACACTTCATCAATTTCAGACGTCAGTTGTGCTGCCTCTGTCACCGTCTGCAGGGAATCCAAGATGTAGTCCATGTAGCTGTTTTCCTTTAATGTTTTTGCTGCACGTGGGCTTTCAGTTCCTCCTTCTGCCGTTTTTCTTAAGGCTATTTGTGCCATGGCTGGCGCTGGCTTGTCTCCAAAGGTCAGAACGGTCTTCACATAGGTATCAGGCTCTCGATCGATTTCCATATCTCTCCACAGGAAGCGATGGACATGCTGGTCTTGCTCCGGAATAAGCACTCTGTGGTACATTTTGGAGATGTCGCCACTAATAGCCACTTGATTTTCTCTAAAGCGCATTAAGACGCCAAAAAGGTTGTTCAGTAGGTCCGGTCCTTTAAGCCAATAGTCGTTTAGGCGATGGCCTTGATATACCGAGGAAGAGTTGAACACAATTCGTAGGGGAGTGCTTTTTTTCTCTGGTTTCAAAACTGCATGATGGGAGATGTAATGTACAGGGCCAGTGTACTTTGTCAATTCCGCTCTTGTCAGTTTTCTAGAGAATTTCATGTCTTCCATCTCTTTCATTTCCTCGTTATATGCCTTGGCATTTGCTTGATTTTTCATTAATCGACGCTCTGTTGCTTCTAGTCTTTTCATAGCTTGGGACCGGTTGTCGGGGAGAAGTTTGGGATCTGTTTTCCACGGATAGGGAATCGTCCATTGATTTCCCACTTTCTTGCAAGAATTTTCGATTATTTTCTTTTCCTCTCGTTCGAGCTGAGTTAGCTTGTCCATTGAGCAATCACTGGATCTTGCTGATACCCCCATGGATTCGGTGGACCAAAATTCTGAGAGATCAACAGGAGCGGCGTAGTTGACGAAAAATAGTCTACCTTTTTCTTGGCCTTTGCTGGCTGTCGTTCCAAATACCACCCATCCAAGCGGTGAATTCCTGGCCACCAGATGCTCTGACTGTCTCGTTTCGCCTGTGTGCATTCGGGCGTGGTCTATTCCAATAAGGAGGTCTACTGGACCAGAGCCTCGAAATATCTTCTCTTTCGTCAAAAGTGACGCCTTTGCAGCATTCTCCTTAGAAATTCCGGCGATGTCATCGCTTATTTGGGGAATTCCAACTGCCTTTACAACGAAACTTCTCTTGTTGACCAGTGAGGTTACTTGGACCTTAAACTCCCTCGTCCTCGTTTGTTCTTCTTCTCCGCCTATCTTGGTGATGGTAATTGTGACTTCCTTCCCGTCAAGACCAAGACTTTCTGCTGTCCCCGAACGAATCAGGGTTAACTGAGCTCCGGAGTCAAGAAGTATATTGCCACGCTTGTATAATCCTTGCCCTCCTATTTCAGCCGAAATAATCGGGAGTAGTGCATCCTGGGTATGTAGGACTGAGGAGATGCTTGCTCTAACATCTGTATTCTTGTGGAGTAGAGGATGATGGTAATATTTGCATCGCGCACCGTGAACAGTTTCTGTACATTGCTTTCTTCTGCTACAGTTAGACATTCTGTGCTCTTTTCCCGCTCTTTTAAGGCAACTAAAGCAGGCGTGATTTTCCTTGGAGGGACTTAAACGCTCATCTGGATTTAATGCTGCAAATTTCAGGCACTGATCCGGCCAATGAGTCGAATTCTTACACAACCAACATTTGTCACTTGGGGTTTTACTTCGTTCGTCATTTCCTTTGGTTACGTAATGAACAGTATGATGAGTGCTGCTCGTTCTGAGGGGTGTGGTGGCTCGCATGCGGGACTTCATCTCAGTTGTCATCCACGTCATCAAATGGTGAAGGGGGTAGCAGGCTCGCTGTTTCTTTCCACTTCTCTCGACCACACCTTCCTGTCATCGGTACACATCTTCTTCTCAATAAGTGACAACATAAGACTGTTGTCCATGTCACCTAGTACTCCAATTTCTTTCAACGTATTATAACATGGTTTAACAAGATGAACTAATTCGCAAAATCGAGCATCTTCGTCGTCTCGTAAGGGCTTAAACTTAACTATATCTTGCATGATGGTGTCGGAAACAACTCTGGGGTCCCCATAAATTGAATCGAGATAATCCCATGCTGCGTTGTAATCTGTTCCGATTCCCTTAATTAATTCCAGCGGTTTGCCTTGGAGGCACGTGCGAAGAAAAGTGATGGCATCGCGCGTGCTGTACTTTGATTCAATCGCATGTTTGAAGTCTGCTTTAAATATCGCGTATTCTCTGACATCTCCTACAAATTTAGGCATTTTTGGTTTTTCCATTTTGAAACCGCACGAATCAACAACAGTATTTTGGCTATCTTCTTTATCATTTACAACGGAGGTGTTAACGCTTTGACTTCCGCCAAGCTGAATTCCAATCATTCCATTACTTTTGTCTGTTACTGAACCAGGATGATTTTCACTAGCATCGAATAATACATTCGTCGTAGGTGGAATACTACTCTTAACTTTGTCCATAGTTTGATCAATGTACTCCTTTGACCTAATTTCAATTCGCATAAACATTTCTTGACACTCTTCAAACCAACTTTCTTCCTTCTCAAATTCTGTATCATCATCGATTAACTTCGTAAATTCTTCGTGTCTCTCGATAAGCTTCTCATAAGCTTCTTTTACTTTATCAAGCGATTCTCTTCCCTCGGAAGCTGGACGCTTGCTTTCAATTGTGTGATGAAGAGATTTTCGAGCCCTAGTTAATGCTGCTTTCGCGTTTCGGCGAGTCACCTTTGCTTCTTTAAGAGCCTCTGACATGTCGAACTCCTCGTGACCTCAGGTTAGCGGAGAAATCGAATGAAATGGACCACTGACGAGTCGACAACTTTAGAAGTTTACGGAAACGACCGTATATCGGATAATCAACGGTTTATTGATATAACTATTCCATCTGAAATCAACAAATTTCACAACAGTTATTTGTGGTATTCACCTACGTTGAGATCCCTAACAAATAAATAAAGAATTACCGTAGAAAACTCAAACCAAACCTACTTCTGTGGCGGGTTTCCATAAACTATGAACTACTGAACTGAAACTGCGGCTTGAATTACCGAACTCGGTGAACTTAAACTCCTGTATCTGGTAAGCGGCTGATTCACATTTTTTCTTAACGTGCTATAACTAGACAGGAAACTAAAACCAATCAAAGTGTAAATTGTTCCTAAGTGTCAATCAAAGTTTGCCTATTGTCCGTTAATAATTAATTCCGTTGAGGGAACATCCTCCAATCATTGCTTTCATTGTCAAGTCAATCTAATGGTACAATAGATTGGCAACAATTGACAAGGGCTGAACAAACTCTTAATATACAGTCAATTAGAGGTTCCTGGCTCTGTGTGCTACTTAAAACTTTTGTAGGTAGTGTACCTTCCAATATGGTATACTTTCGTCGCAGCAACCCTATCACTCTCTCAACGTGAATCCTGACACTAGCTATTCCTCTTGATCTTTCTACATCAACTGGATCTAATTGGGCCTTTCCTTTTGTAAAAGCAGGAATGACAAGCTTCCCATTTTTTAATCCCACGTTTTCAGAAATCGTGAAAACCTCTATCTGCTATTGCTGTGTCTCCAGGAACTAGCTTATCTAAAATACCACAGTTCTCTGCAATGAACTTATCTGATGTTCGCCCACCCCAAGCTTGAGAGACAAGTGATATTGTTCCTTGGGGTGTTATACCTATGAGTACCTTGATGGTATTGTGGTGCTTGTATGAGCTGAATGTTTGAGCTCGAGCCAGTAGATTCGATGGCTTTTCAATAAAAACTTCAAAGCAGTCTATTATCACAGTCACTTTTTGTCCGAATGTGTACTGAAAACACATTGGCATGGTTTTCCATAACTAGTCTCTTTTAGGCCAATAAATGAAACAAGAAAGTCTGGAGTCCATGGCAACTATCCAGGAAGTAAATATCCTTGAAACACTTGAAAGGGACACCACAAAGCGGTATGCTAAATCTTGGAATGGCATATCCAAACGAAGCTTCATTAAAACCATAACAAATTCTTGGAAGCCACCTAAGATTGTAGAGCTATGTTTTCGTGCAACGTTGGGAGCTACATGTTCAAACACTACCATAAGTACTTCATAGGAGGGTAATCCAGTATAAAAACGGATTTTATCTGAAGAATCAAAAAATCTTTCGTCTGGAGCTCGATAAACAGAGCTTGTAAACATGTAGTTGAATTCATCAATCTGTGTGTCGGTATTTGATGAGCCTTCGCAAACTATTAGAAAGTCCTCTGTCGAAGTTGAGTTTTCGACCATATGTAAGGTTGTCTCACCGACCGTTTCACATTCGCCATCATAAAAATCTTTACTGCAAGAAGGCTCAGAGCAAAGTAACTTACCAGTAGATGAATAGTCAATACAAAAATCAATTTTCTGAACAATTGATCCGCTTTTATCTAGCTCCTTTCTTTTCTTAGCCGCTTCCATTTCTTGGCGCTCCAAAGAACGTTTCCTTCGATCTTTTGCTCGTTTGGCCCTACATTCTACTGCTTCTCTTTGTAGATCTTTCTCATTGCTGCTCTGTAAATCTCTCGGCTTGCCTAGGTTTACCGTTGGCACCCAGTCAACATTGTATTTGTCCCAAACAGCAGCGGCTTTGCCTGAAACAGAGTGTAGACTGCGAACGCGTTCGCTCTCGAGCACTCTCTTTTCCTTCGTATCGCCTCGACTAACTGCAGAAATCCAACGAGTTCTTCGCTTTCTGGTTAGCTCTTTGTGTTCTTCTCCTTGATTTGAAACAATCTTCGGTATACAATGAAATTTTCCTTTATGTTTTCCGCTTTTAGATCCGCAACCAACGACTATACAATGCACCATATCTCACACTTCTTCTCCATCTACTATCATTGTTTACCTTTGAAGGGGCACAAAGATGGCGGTTAGCAGCCGTTGTCAAGTGTGGTGTCACGGGGGTGAAAGTCACCAATTGTTCAAAACAAGAAGTAAGGAATTGCTTAACCCCTCCCCTGCCACACCCAATGGCCAATAACATTGTCTAGCAACCAGCGGCCATATTGGATTTTTTGCTAAAATTTGAAAAACCGTCAAAAACTCTGTATTATGTCTATATACAGTCTCATATGGATAAATAAAAGTCATTGAAACACTTTCTGGCATTTTGTGTAGTATACTGATTGTTACTCGGTGTGAAAAACTCTAAAACATGGGGCAGGAGAAAGTCCGGGGTGAGTGTTACACTGTCCACATTGATATCGTGTCTCTTTTCTTCCTCCTTGCTTGGAACAAATTTGGCATCTCTTCTGAGGAGTCTGCTTATTGGGAGTTGGGGGGATCAATTCAGAAAAATGTCACCCTGAATACCGATCATTAGCATCTGGTGTAACAAGTTCAGTTGATGATGCAGCAAGTAAGGCAGACATGTAGTCAAACTTGAACTTGAGTAATGGCTTTTTTCCTCCAGATTTCTTGTACAAGAGGTGTGCATTTAGAACCCTTCCTCTATGAAATGAAATACTATCTTCTTTGTCCACTTCATGCTCTTTCTCACACTGCAGTAGGTGCCAATCAACTCGTCATTGCGGTCTACGCCTCCCATGTATTTATTATGGTCATCGACCAACTGCAATTTTCGCACATTGTTCCCATGCCTGTCTCTCTTCCCAGTGTCTACTACATTGGCTTCACGCACTGTGGACAAGAAATAAATCTCTTTCTTGTCATTCAATCGCACAGCCAGCATGTCGTCTTTCCTTCTGAAAGCATGCTCTCCTTTTGCTAGTCGAGGAGTCTTGAGGGAAGCTGGTAACTTTAGCCTATTCTTCCCAGCAGTTCCACAGGCTGAAGTGTTATTCTCATAAAGGTAGGAAAACAGTTCTTCACTTGTGTAGCAGTTATCAACAAAGAGTTTGTAGGCTTTCCCAAGAAGGCCTTCCATCAGTCGTCGGATAACAGCGCCACTCTTACCAAGTCTACGTATAGTTGCTGATCAGCAGCTGCGGCATCCGGCTCTTTCCCAAGGTATACATAAGAGTTCCAGAGGTAGCCTTTGGTTTCACAGGGGCTAAACATCTTGATGCCAAATCTTGCTCTCTTTAGTGGAATATACTGCTTGAAACCAACCCTGCCTTTCCATAGCAATAATTCCTCATCAATTGAAATGTGCTTCTCCGGAGTGTAAACACTCTGGAACTTTGACACCAGATATTCAACAGCAGGCCTCACCATGTATAATCTGTCATGGTTTGGATCATTTGCATCATATCTACTATTATTTGCAAAATGCAGAAACTGCAAGATTGATTGAAAACGATTTCTGGGCATCACACTGTTGAAAATTGAGCCTTTCAGTAAAGGATTTGTGCTCCAGTAGTCTGATACTTCTGGTTTTCTCACAATTCCCATCAGAAGGACAAGTGCCAAGAATTTCTTCATCTCATTTCAATTAGTTTCGTCCCATGAATTTGCACGTGAATTTGGGAGTAAATTTGCGAGTAAATTTGCATTCCCCCTCTTGTACTGAGCAGCATACAGGTTTGTTTGCTCAACCAATAAATCAAAAGACTCATTGGTAAGAAACAAAGTCAAATAATCACTTACACCAGCATTGTTTGGCAGCTGTACTTGTAAACCTGTGCGAGCAGTAAATGCGGGAATGCGTGGTTGCCGATCATTTGAAGTCCACTGCTGTTCTAACATCGCGTCTTCGTGTTGTTGGTTTCTTCTTGCACCGCGTCCAGCAGCGCCGTTGTGTTGTCGAGCCCGTCCACGACCACGTCCTCGTGCAGGTCTGGGTGTATTTTCTTGAGCGTCATTTTCGCTCAGTTCGTCGCTTTCATCACTTTAAGATGATTCTGTGCTCTCTCAAAGAACTTCCTCTGTGTAGCTTTCATCAGAACGAAAGGCAAATCCATTCATCGGGCTCCTCATCTATTTTTGCACAACACCTAAAGGAAGAAAGTCGCGGATTACTTTAATTTCGCTCGGTAATTTTTAACAACTCCACTATACCTGAAAAAAGGAAAAAACAAAACAAACCAAAAAAGAATGTGATACCAGTCAAACCAGTGGTAGCAACTCTTGCAATGAATCATGTCGAGGTACCATGATTCTTTCGATTTTATTTCAGTTTAAAATTTATTTCGCCAAAACGAAAACAAAAAAAAGAAAATTAATGAACGCATGAGTCGGAGCCATTCCTGCGAGCGGTGAAATACAGGAATGGTTCCAATCTCTAGTCGTCCACCTGAACTGAGTCTGAACTGACTAAATGAGTTTAGTCAGCGGAACGAGTCAGCAGATGGAATATCGCTGAACTAGAAAGGTCTCCCCTTCGTTATGTTAGTAACCATCTCTTGTTTGACACATCGGAGTTTTCAGTCGCGTTGATATTTCACTGTCCCGCTTGGAGACACACGGTTAAACAATACTCACCTGCAAGGAGTTAAGATATAACTTATTAACTTTTACTATTTTTATCATCCAATTACAGCTCGGAGCCATTCCTGTATTTAGTCGCTAGTATAGCTACGATGAAACGCCATTTTGTTTTGACTTGAAGTACACTGAAGCATTTTGGACACTGAAACCCCGGTAAACCAGTCAGCGGTTATGTATATGAGAGGAGAATGATTCGTGACTACCATAATAGAGTTTCTCTCTATTTTCTGAACTACCGAGCCGTGATACAAGTCTTTTATTTCAGGACGTATATATACGTCTCGGGTCGTTTAGGTCACGCAAATGATGACGTATATATACATCCGTGGCAGGGAAGGGGTTAAGGGCCGCTTTATTTTCAGGTAAACAGCCATACTGTATTATTTAAAATATATTTAAATTGTTGTTGTTGTCACAGTTCACATTCTTTCAGAGAAACTGGGAATAAACCACTGTTGATACATGCTAAATAGTTGTCCTATCAAAATATCAAAACGAGGCTCTTGGCATTTGAAAGCACACTGACTGGTGATGGGAAACCCTTGTGAATTATATAGACTCAAAAAGAATGTTTAGAGCTTTTCAATGTGATCAATCAAAGTACTGTACAAATCCTTTACTTCATTAGGTGAGTTTGGCATGAGCCAGTGCTTTTAATGTATGATGATGTTGGCAAGATCTGAAAATTCTGGTGTGCAGTAGAGTAGTTTCTCGCTATTACTGTCACACACAAGTTGCTGAATAATAGCGTTGAAGAGTAATAAAGTAGATGTAGAGAGCAGTGCTGTCAACGTTGTCAACTTCAATCATAAACTCCGTTGTACCTGATACCTCTGGAAGTGAAAATAGAAGATCCGGACGTCCTCCAGGGGATTTGTGGTTAACTGATGGTCTAATTCTATGATTGTTCCAAAGCCATGTAGCTCTGTACAGTTCATCCATGTAGCAAAACCTCAAACATTCCACATGTGCCACATTAGAATCACAATAACAGCCAGTTTCTTGAAGTTCTTTGAAATGCTGTATCCACCAATCAGCACAACCCCTTCACAGCTGGGACCATCAAGCTTCTATCCTTTGATTGGATACAGAGCGGCCATAAATAAAACTCTTCTTTGCCCGAAATGAGTCATCTGAATTGTTTCGAAAGAAACGTTGAATTGCAGCAACATGGCTGTTTTCTGTACCACAGTCCGCTCGTACAATACGGGCAGTGCCCCCCATCTCAAAAATACATTTGAAAAAATAACGCGCAACAACTGTCGGGTCATTGTTAGACATCCCGACCTCGAGCCACATTATTCGCCTACTATAGCCATCTATACATCCGTAGATGGAAAAACCAAAATGCTTTAGTTTATCATATCCGTCAATGTGCCAAAGAAAATTTAGCCCTCTTCCCTTATACTGACGCCTTTGAAGTCGATGCCTTAACCGCCTATCAACACCCTCAGGATCCATGATCCTGAGAGCGTGCCGTACCTTCTCTTTAGAAACCACAAGGCTGCGATCTGTGACTCATCTTTGCCAAACACATCTATATCCAATATCCTTTCCACTTCCTCGTTGCTCTTGTTCAATAGCGACATTAACAGTTCTCTGGTCGGAAACGTTTTGCCGTCTTTTAAGGCCTCTACGGGCTAGTATTCTTTTCAACTGTCGCAAACTGAGTTCCTCGTCATGCAGTAATAGAAGACATGAAAGTATTTCAGCGTGGTTGTATCCAATTGCTCAATTAATTCATCAATTGCTCGATTAATTCAGCACGAAAGTTGAAGGCCAAACGCGCCGCCGTGTTTGCCCCGTCTACACCGTCTACACAAACATAACCCAGGCTCTTGCTTTACAACAACTCGTCACGTAACTCGTCACATAACTCGTCACATAACTGGTCAAATAACTCGTCACGTAACTCGTCACATAACTCGTCACATAACTCGTCACATAACTCGTCAAATAACTCGTCAATTAACTCGTCAAATAACTCGTCACATAACTCTTCAAATAACTCGTCAAATAACTCGTTAAGTAACTCGTCAAATAACTATGTTTGATGATGGCCCTTTGCGGGGTCCGTATCTTCACCTTGTACTTTGGTATAAATATGGAACAATATTGATGACTTTTCAGTGAGAAAGATCAGTGAACTACCCTTATCAAAAGAACATGTATGTCACATATAGGAGACATATGTTTCATTACGGTACATATATGTGACATATATGTTCATATATGTCGTATATATGTGTCTATACAAGATTGCATGTTAACATATATGTAACGTTTTCATGTAAAAGGTGACATATATGACACATATGTGTACAATCTTGCATGTAAAACATATAAGTAACATATATGTAACTTTTTCCAGTAAAAAGTGACATATATGACACATATGGTGTAGCGTTTACGGCGACCAAAATCTTAATTCTCAAGTTTAAGGGCGTGTCGCTCAAAACGCTGTTAACGAGGTGTTTAGGACTACTTTACTGATCGAAATGACAACCCAAGGTTGACTGTTTGCACGAATCTTTATTCTTGAAAGGCAATCGACCACGAACCACAATCAATTACGAAAATAACGATTATTCTCGCAGTCAATCAATCTATCGAACGATCAATCGTAAACTGAAACAACAATACAACGAAGTTCTATCAATCTAACGAAAAGCCGCGGAATACATGATCAAAGAATCGCATGTTAAATACTGGGCTCTAAAGTCTATAACGAGATTAACAATACAAGTGAAACAGAACAAAGGTTTGGAAACAAATTAACAGAGTTTTGATGACTGATAAACAGCCCATTGTTCTATCTAAATGATGGGCGTTCACTGACTCGCCAACTGGCACGAATTTGGCCTTTAAATCTTAAATCTATACAGATCATTGCAATATTTGTTTGTATATTGTCGCCCAACACTGAAAAGACTGGAGAGGGAAAAACAAAGTTACAAAGGTACTCACATATCGGTCCCGCTTGTGCCAGAGGTTGAGAAAACGAAAGGGCGAAAGTTTACCAAGGCTATTCAAAACGTACGAAGAACTGATTAAAGGGACGCTAAAATTGCCTTTTATATGCGCGTGGTGACGCTGAAAGGTCCAATTACAAAACCAATAGAAATACAGAAAAACAGATAAGCATTGTAACTATGTGGCTATCTAAGGTCATTCTGAAATTAGTGAACTAATCAGTAATCAATCAAAAAATGAGCCTTCTGGCTAATGTCTTTAACATATGTGTCTATATAGCTTAGAGGTTAACGTATATGTAACATATATGTAGGGTTTTTAACCCTATTCTTTTAAGACATATGTTACGTACTGCATATGTTGACTCATATATCTCCTTGCAATAACAGTATATAGTTCCCAAGTATTTTTTAAATTTACATGAAGTACCTAATTTATTAGTGTGCCCACGCATGCATGCATGCAGCAATTGATGGATTCAATCCATTGATAGATTATCAATTTTGTTATTCAACCTAGCCTTTATCACATCTAGCTTTTGTATATATAATTATATATGTGTAGGTCTATTTACAGTCTTAATTTTATCTCCATTAATTTTTAGCTACCTTCATTTGAGCTTGCAACTTCATCCTCAGCAGTATACACGCAATACCCAAAAACAAAATAAATTTACCCGAGATAAAAATTTAACTGCAACTTTATACATTACAGACTTGTATAATTATTTTTATGTTGTTTTTGGTTATGGCAATGTGTGCTATTTACATTAAAACACAAGAAAAAGAAAAGCTAACAAAGATAAAAGAATTATAACCAACAAAGATATATCTCATGATCCCATCTTTGATCTATATGTGCCTGCATGTCCAACTTAGCTTAAATACGAATCATCTTGCTTGTATGTAAATGCATTTTAATACTATTAAAAACTCTGGTTAATGACTCGATTGGCCAATCAAAATGACATGCTGCATGGTTGTCTAGGTTGTCAGTTAACCATGCTATACGTCATACAATGA